TTTTTTTTTTTTTTTTCAACGATAATAATGATAATTCGACAAAAACAAAAAAAAAAAACGCGGTTTGTAGGGTATTAAACAAACGAGTTGTGAAAATAAAATTCTACGTTATTATTATTATTATCATTTTGTTTTTTAAAGGAATTTATATTTTTTTTAAAAATTTTCCGCAGTTAATTAACGAATTTTTTTTTTTTTTAAATTTTCATCCCCTTTGTTTGTTTAAAGTGTCCGAAACCACTCGTAAAAAAAAAAAAAATTTTTTTTTTTTTAAAAAAGTCATTAAAAAAAAATAATAATTGTTTTTCTTTTGACCTTTGAACTTTCTAGTTACGTTTTAATTTAAAATAATAATAATAAAAATTTTTCTTTTGCTTCTTCTTCTTCTTCTTTTACAAAGAAATGGGGGAGAAACTTTTTTTTCTTGGGGTAAAAAAAAAAAAAAAATTTAAATTTACCGTCAAAAAATTTTCTTTTTTCTTTTTTTTTTTTAAATTAAATTAATTTGATTATAAAAGTAATTTAAATTTTTTTTCTTTTTTTTAAATTCTTATCGCCTTGACGTTTTGTAATTTAACGTCTTTTACGATATCTATACAAATATATTCGTTAGGATGTAATAAATTTATAATGGGATTGGGGAATCCTTGAAATAAATTTCATAATTAAACAAAATGAAAAAAAAAAAAAAAAAGAAAAGAGGAGAACGAGGGGGAAAGAAGAAACGAAGAAAGAGAAAGAAGGAAAAAAGGGATGCGGACGAATAAGTAAAAAAGTTATATTTGAATCTTAATCCTCCCTTTGGGGATGCCTTAAAAGTTTTTCAAGTTTAAGTTTTTTTTTAGTCTGTAGTTTTGATTTGCCACACCGTGAAATAAAGCACAGACAGAGAGAGAGAGAAAGGTAAGGGTGGAGAGTAAATTAGTGAGAGAGAGAGAAGGTGGAATGAAGAAAGAGTAAGGAAAAGGGATAGAGAGTGAGAGAGAGATAGGGGTAGAAAGGGAATGAGTAAGTGAGAGAGAAATAGAGATGGAGATTAAATGAGTGAGTGTGAGAGAGAGAGAGAGGGTGAAATAAAGAAAGAGGAAAGAAAAGGGATAAAGAGAGAGATAGAAGGAGAAAAATGAAGAAAGAATAAGGAAAAGGGATAGAAAGATAGAGAAAGATAGGGGTAGAAAGTGAATGAGTGAGTGAGAAATAGGGATGGAGAGTAAGTAATTGAGTGTGTGAGTGAGAAAAAGAGAGTGAAATGAAGAAAGAGTGAAAGAGTGAGAGGGAGATAGGGGTGGAGAGAGAGAAAGAGGGAGGAAAGAAAGGAATAATGAGAGAAACAGAAAAAGAAGAAATTAGAGAAAAAGATTTAGAAAGATGAAGAAGATTGAGAAAGAAGAGAAAAGGATTGTGAGAAAGAAAGAAAGAAAGAGAGAGAGAGAGGGAGAGACATAAAAAGGATTTTTTTTTTTTCGTTTAATTTATTCACTTAGGTTCATTATTTTTTATTTGAGGTTAGTATTTAATAAAATTAACCTTTAAAAGCTCTCATTTAAAAAAAAAAATTGTAGATTATAAGTTTTATATAATTGAAACTTTGAATGAATTCATGAATAATAAACCATTTTCAATTCGTTTTTATTTAAAAAAAAGAAAAGAAATTTTTACGTCGCCCATTGAAAATATGTTCAAACGAGAGAAAGAGAGAGAGAGAGAGAGAGAGAGAGAGAGAAAGAGCAGACGACATAATTTTCGACAACGTAAATCGAATTTTTTAAACGTTTTTATTCTTTTTTTACAAAAAAAAATTGGAAAAGTTTTGATTTTTTTTTTTTTTTCGTATCAATTTTTTTTACTTTCTTTGCGTTTGATACGTCATTCATTTCATTTGATTTCGAAATTTTTTTTTTTTTTTTTTAATTTTAAATGACAACAAAATTAAAAAAAAAAAAAAAAGAAAAAAAATTGTTGGCTCGAATATTTAATAATTTATTTTCGCATTAATGTCCGATTTAAATTTTTTTTTTATTGTACTCTCAAAACGTTCGTCGATTATCTTTTCGTCTGTTAGCCGTTCGTTAATTAATTTTTTTAATAATAA